GTGGTACATATACACAATGAAATATTATGTAGCCATAAAGAAGGACAAAATTATGAACTTCACAGCAACTTGGATGAACTTAGAGTCTATGACACTAAGTGATCTATCACAGGAACTAAGAGCTGAGTATCACATGTTCTCACTCATACATGGACCTTGAACAATTATTGTAATACTATAAGAAAAGGATTGTCAGTAGTGAGAAATTGCCAGGGGGTAGGCGGAGGGTCACGTGGGATTGGCAGTAGTGGGATTCTGCCAGGGAAAGGGGCACGCCTCATCAGCAAGGGTACCTGCATAATGAACATTTGTATACCTAATCCTGAACTGTACCCCACATCTTTTTAATTAAAAATTAAAATAAATTAAAAGTCCAGAAAACAACAAATAAAATAATAAATTTGAAAAATAAGTTTTAACAGTTTATGAGTCTGAGGTTCAGAAAAGTTATATAATTTGCCCAAAGTCACAACTAATAAGTGATGAAGCCAGGATGTGGACCTAGATCCACCCCCCTCAAACCCAAGCTCTTTCTAATACTTCACATCCAGCAAGGAGGGTCCCCCAAGAGTGCAGACCCTCTGGGCTTTCTATCTGATGGCAAATGAGCCCACTGACATTTCTCAACTTACACCTACCAAGAGACACAGATTTTTCCAGAGCCAGATCTGACCCAGCCTGAAGCACCTGACTGTCTCAGTCAATTCAGGTATGCGGACAAGAGGACTCTCAGGTCACCTGGATCACCCAGGCATTAAGGTGGGGCCCAGGACAAGACTCCACCCGATGCCTTTAAGGTATAACTGGCATACAGTGAACTTCACTAAGAAAGACTCCACTACATTTTTATTGAAGTAATAGATACGATAAACTGCATATAAAGTTTATAATTTAATAAGTGTTGACATATGTATATACCTGTGAAACTATCACCAAAATCAAGATAATAAGCCCCCAAAACTTTCTTTGTGCCCACTTTGTAACTCCTCCTTCCCACCCCTCCCAGATCTTACTACCTTTATCCCTCCCGCCAGTAACAACTGATCTGCTTTCTTTTTTAAAGAATTGTTTAACCATAGCATAACAAGAACTTAGATCTGCTTTCTGTGACTATAGATTAATTTGCATTTTCTAGAGTTTCATATAAATGGAGCCATACAAAGCTGGATTTATTTGTCTAACTTTTCCCCCTCCCCCTTTTTTAAATACAGTTTTGCTCCATGAGAAATAAAGCGGCTGTGAACATTTGTGCACAAGTGCTGGCGTGAACATATGCCTTCTTCCTATTGACTCTACTAATTTTCTCTAAACTCGGACACCTGCTACAGGAAGCGATTTCCCAGATGACCAGCCTCTCTGATGAGAGAGAAAAAACAAAGTCGCCCTTCTAGGGACCCCTGAGCCCTGGAGCCAAGGGGAGCCACTGAAGAAGACCTCTGACACACTGTCTCTGGTTTTGGCTTTGGTCCCAGGAGGCGGTGGGATTTCCTGCAGGAAATCCAGCCAGGATCCTCACTCCCTTACCTTTCCTCTTCAGCCACTCTGAGATTTTCCAGCCTCTGACCCTCCCCGCCTCTCACATGGTCAGCTCCCACAGACTTCCTACCTATCTCTACCCTGCCTGGATGCCACGGACAACCCCATCACACCCTTGACCTCCACCACAGCCCTGAACTTCCGCTGCCCTTTGTCCTTGCACCACCCTTCCCTTGTCAGCCCCCCCGGCCCAGAACAACACAGCCACAGGCTGCCTCCTCTCCAGCATTGAGCTAAGGGGGAAACTGGTGTCACTACAAATCCAGTCTCTGAGTTTAGCTGGGCCCTGAGTGCCACCTGGAATCTTCTTCAGGGACCCCAGTCAGATGCCATGTATAGAATGTTCTAAAGCTTTTCCACCAACCTTAAGTCCCAAACCCACCTCTCCTACCTATCCCTTCCCCAAAAGATGATCTTATCTTTTTCTTTTAAGTCGGGGGTCTCTCTGTCTGCCAGGATACAGTGCAATAGCAAAATCACAGCTCACCACAGCTTCAGCCTCCTAGCCTCAGGCAATTCTACCTCAGCCTCCTGAGAAGCTGGGACTACAGGCACACGCCACCACACCCAGCTAATTTTATTTTTTAAGTTTTTTGTATAGATGAGGTCTCACTATGTTGCCTAGGCTGGTCCAAACTCCTGGGCTCAAGCAATCTTCTTGCCTCGGCCTCCCAAAGTGCTGAGATTACAGGTGTGAGCCACTGCATCTGGGTCTTATCTCTCTCTCTTTTTTTTTTTTTTTTTTTG